TCCACCAGTGGAAGTCGCGGCAGCTCTCTGAAATCAGGAATATCCCACACGGAGAGGAGAGCCTCCATCTCCTTATTAGATTCAGAGGACACGACTTTTATTTTTCTACTCCAGGTTGAGTGCTGGCAGGCAGTGACTGTTTTTATGATAAGGAAGAAGAGGAGAGGTGGGGATGGATGAAACACAGGTGCCTTCAGCTTTAAATGGCTTCATTCTAAAACTGTCTGTGCAGCTGGAGTCAGACATTAGCTGTAATGGTAGAAAGTGGAGTAAGCACAATGATGTTTTTCCCTCTAAAAATCCCATAGACTGAATATAAAAGATGGACATAATCACTGCAAAGCCGCTAACAGGTGTGTGAAGCCTTGAGTGTAGCTTTTTGATGGTCACATCTTTGTTAGATCTAACAAACTGAGCAACACTGCACAAACACACATGAAAAACTTGCTAACTACACGCATTACCCAGTTTGTCCTTGATGGCACCAATGGTGACGTTTGTTAAAGTAGCCCTGAAAATACTGATTGAGCCCAAAACATGACAGAAAGTGGTTTATTGTGTTCATGAAGAGAGAAGTAGGATCATTTTCTCATACAGTCGAGCTTCTTTCGCAACAAGATGAGTCGCCCTCTGCTGGTCATTAAAGAAAATGCAGGTTTATCCATGTTTTATATGCAGTCTATGAAAAAATTTAGATTGTTTTTGTTTTTGAATGATCTCAATAGGTGTGTGTTTGTTTTCTACTCTGTCAGAGGCTGTGTATTAAACTTGTTTCTGTGTGGCACTCATCGTTCTTGACATTTAACTATTCCCCGAGGTTCAGGTGGACAGATTTCCAAAGACTTCGCTCTCTAAGATAACTGTGACATGACGTACTACAACTTTAGCTGGAAGACCGTCTCATTGAGAGTACACGTTTGGAGCGTATATCACATATTATGTGATATTCATTGTGTTGAAAATGAAGTTTAGCTGAATCGAGGATAACTTAAACTATAAAGAATGAACATCATGTGATCAAAAGCTCCAGAACAGCAGGTCAGTGGACCTTGTGGTAAGTGTTTCTTTGACATTTGTTCAATGAGAGGGGAAAGTCCCCCGATTCTCGAGTAATACAGCGCCACCAGTAGGGCAGAAGTTGAAAGTGCATTTAAGTCGTACTTCACAAAAAAATTAGGTGTGGTTGGATAACTTGCATCAAGCCCATTTCAAAGCACCCTATTAAGTCAGTTTCTGCCATACTGAATGTTGTTAAAGCATTTAATACACCGGGCACGTTTGTTATTTTCCCCAAGTCAGCACCAAAGAAGGCACAGACCATCTTCAGATTAAGCCTCACAAAAGCTGAAATTAGTGGCAAAGTTGACAAACAAGCAAAGTCGTGTACCATCAAAGCTGCGATTAGTCTAAACTAAACTCCAGACAAATGCACGTTGGGTGACTTAGTGAATCTAAATTTGCTGTAGACGTGAGTGTGGATGGTTGTGTGTCTCTCTGTGTGTTTGCCCTCTAAGACAAACTGGTGACCTGCTCAAGGCGTGCCCCACCTTTCCTGCTATGACAGCTGGGATAGTCTCCAGCTTCCTGCGACCTTAAATTAAACAAGTGTTTAAGAACGTGGATGGATGGAAATATATTTAATAGTCATCTCAAGGTATTTTATATAATGCATGCTGTACACCTTAACTGATATTCACTATCTTGCTTCTTCTTTTTAGGTCTTGAGGCTCAGCTGGTACTCCAGCCTCCTCTTTCATACTGGTGGATGCTGTAGGTAATACTCAAGTACTACCAGACTTACAAAACTCCAAACTAACCCTTTAAGTTGCCGTGCACGTGTCATCTGTGTGGCCACTGCAGCTTTGTCCCACAGGGTGTGTGGTGCACGTTTAGCAATGACATGTGACAGACGAAAACCTAAATCATATTATTACATTTAATTTAAACATACCTGTTTATTTAAGGTCAGCAAATGACTTGCAGAGTGTATTTAGGTTCTCTTCTCTCATGTCAAATATCTCTGGCTGAAGAAAACGAAAAGCCAGAGAAAGACACAACATGTTATCCACCGGTACTTTCATAGCTGTGATCCTTTAGCTTCTCTGCAAGTATCAGAATTCTTTCTGAATACATTTCTGCTGTCTGTTGCATCGCAGCTCTTTAACATTTTAGCCACATTTTCTTGCAGAAGGTTTGTGCATTTTCCACTCTGCATGAGAGACTATAGGGGCTTGTGTTATAGGGTGATGTCATGGTGCAAAGCCTCTATAGATTGGACGAATTACACCCACAAAAATGCATAACGGCGCTGCAGGTTGATACGCTCATTTTCCAAACCCCACCCGGTTAATCGGAGCCAGCCTAGAGTTTTATTCTTATAAATTGAGAGACAAAAAGGGAAGATTTTGGAGCACTTAAGACGACACATCCAGTGAAGGGGGGAGGAAAAAAAACGCCCTGCTTTTCCAGCCTGTGGCCTGGAGAGGAATGAACAGCAGTCTGAAAAAGCAGCAGAAACGATTCAAACCTGCCTTTTAACAGACGCCGCTACCTCTCTTTTTCATAATTCTCTCTGCCCGTAATGTTCGTCGTGCACGGGAGCAGGAGCATTATAAAACCTTTTTTCTCTGCCACAGGCAGTCTGAACAGAAGAGGCAGAGGAGAGTGTTTAAGGAGCAGGGTTAAGAGCTGATATTATCGAGCCCGCTGCTGTACATTCACGGCTGGGTGCACTTCACACGTTTTCTGCCTCTAATTAGGTCCAAAGTTGCCATCAAGGAACCCGATTGGTGTCGCAGGAACTCTGTGGCTGCTGTATTTTAAAGTCTCGCTTTTCAAGAGGGGCTCTGCGGCAAGCAGGTTGTTAGACGATTCACACAATTAACACCGCAGGCCCCTTCAGAAGTCGCATCAAATCTCCAAACTAATAACTCGCTCCCCTCCACCTGTAAGAATACATAAACCCCGTATGAAGGGAGTAGGGTGACAGGTGAGAGGAAATCTGTTCACATTGGGGAGTTGAGTGTTTTCGCTCCCGGCTAAAGACGGCCTCTTTGCATTTGTGATCATGCTGAAGCATTCATTTGACTCAAACACGCACCATATGCTTAAGACCTCTGAGAGTATCCCTGCTTTGGATTCACACCTTCATATGCATATCAGTTAAGAAGCTCAGTGTGAATATTTGTTTCTGATCCCTAAGGGAGGGGGAGGCTTGATTGTTTGGCGTGCCGAGCCAGAAAAAGTTCAGATTTTGTGCTTCTGTTCAGATCTGTCCAATTCATACACCTGTTCAGAGCTTTTGCTGATGAGATGCCATGTTGTTAAAATGCCAGCTTTTTTTCTTTGTCTTCTTCGTGCACGTGGCTCTCTATTCACAGGTTGAACGCATCTTGCCAAGCTTTCTGTTTCACTCCTGTCTTTGAGTAAAATATTAAGCACACTCGTAGCACGATGCGATAGATTTGTAGAGCACTATACCTGCAGTCACCCACGTAACAAAATGACTCAAAATTGAGGCTGCAAAGAAAAGTCAGTAACACAAAACCGTGGTGTTTATTAGAGTGGGTGTGTATTAATGTTTCCAGTGGAGAAAGCATGTTTAATGATGGCAAATGTTGAAGCTGCTGTAGCTCCAGGTGCTACAAAGGAGGTGTGTGGTCCATGATTGAAACTCCATGTGCCATAAGGGTGAATTTATAAAATATAATTTGTCAGGATTTTTTTCCAGGCTGGAACACCATTTACTTCTGGCTCACATTTTAATTCGCTTGATTTTGCTGCCATCTATTGGCTGATATAGGTCTCACATTTACAGCTCCCTGTTCAAAGCTGGATTACTGCCTGAACACAAAGGGCACATGTCCCGAGAGCCACTCCCACAGTTTACTGAGAGCTAATTATTTTTGATTTATTTTACTGTAGACATATGCACTGATCACATATATTTAATTACGTAAGTCCTGCTCTAAATGTTCATCAAGAGCTCCATCTTATGTGCACATTTTCCAAGTTTGACATTTACCTACGTCCACACACCAGCGCAGTTTTCAAGAAAAATATAAATTAGTCTTCAATCCAGACGTAATTGTTTTCATCCCTTTTCTTTTACTTATCCTCATCAGGGTCATGGGCAGGCTGGGGCCTATCCCAGCTACCACAAGTGGGATACACCCTGGGCAGAAACGTGGATTTCAGTATTCTGATTTACCAAGATTTCTGCATCTCCTGGAATGGGCTCCATACAATTTTGGCACTTTGACTCATGTTTAGGGATGAACTGATCATGTTGGTCAAAGCGTCAGGTGACTTCACAGCAAAACAAAAGTTTAAGGCCGATTATGACAAAAGTTCAAGACATGAGCCAACAGGGTGAGTGGGTGCCCCATCACCATGGTGGTTAGCACTGTTGCCTCACAGCAAGGTCTTGGGTTTGAATCCACTGGCTGATGAGTTTGCATGCTCTCCCCGTGTCTGGGTTGGTCTCTCATGACACTTAAGACTTCCTCCCAAAGTTCAAAAGTATGCAGGTGTAGCCTACCTCTCACCTCACAGCAGCAACAGTCTTCAGCACAACTACAACCCTGTATGGGATAACTGGAAGAAGACGGCTTTGACTCTTTAGTAGTCTCTACTTATGAGTTTGAAAAATGACATTTTGCTCTGATTTTGGTGTTCCACCGTTTTTCTTGTGTGTACCCGCTGTAAGGAAATCTTTTTAGCGAGATATTTTTCTGTTTCATTTTCACCTGTTTGGATTGCAGATGGTGTGATTTGTGTAAACAATGCCCTTCTGTAGGGGGGAGCTGGAATAGCCGTAAATGTGATGTCAAGATCAAGACCTGATTCACACAGATCTGGTCCACTTCTACACTTTCAATCACATCTGTAACAGGACACCCCACTACAAGCTTTCTCTAGAAAGGTCCATCTATGCCCCATGAAGTTAGTTCATATCTTTAAAAAAAAAAAGAAAAAGAAAGAAAAGGATGATGCAGGAGTCCAGAGTATAAAGAAACTTTAATTGTTGGATTAAGAACAACCTTCACAATTTGAGGACTTATATATTTTAAAAAAGAAATGTGCAATGGCCTTTCAACCCTTGAGGTTTTTCATTTAAGACACGTTTCAGGTAAAAATTAACTAGGAGCACTGAAACCGCATAATGCTTGTGTTATACAGCTGTATTAAGCGTATAATAAGAATTATGGATGACCATAATGCCTACAGATAATTTTGGAAAACCGGCTGACCACATGTTTAGGCTCTATATATTATTTAAGTATTTCGACATAAAACTTTAGGGATTCCTGCTGCTTAACATGTTTAAAAGAAATTATGTAATACTGTATTTGATGACCAATGTTACTTGCATCACTCAAAAATTGTCCACGGAACAACTTTTTAATTAACACTCAAATTTACTCAAACAGACTGGTGTGCTTAGCTGTAAGCCTGCTCTGCAGTCTTAGACTAATCCGCAGACTTTAAATAAACAAATATGTAAATTATATACTGTTTTTTTCTGAATACTAACATTTAAAATACATACCCAACCCTTCCATGTAAATTGTCAGACTGAAAATCTTGGCAACATGAAGCGTTTGTTAACATCTGGATTCATCACCTTACAATAACACGATATTTTCAGACATAACTTACCAGGTAATTTTACATAAAGCTATTACATCAGGAGAACCTGTAGATACTGTTGATTAGTCTGTACTGGACAAGAAGTATTTATTGAAAACAACATTCAGGCCAAGTAGCAGCTGGGTCTTCATTCAGTAGTCCCCTCTGTGGTCGGGGATGGGTTTCTAAGGACGTACTGTCCTTTGGCTTTTCTCGTTATGCCTGCAATAAAAACAAAACTACATTTTAGGTATGAGTCACTTAAATTTAGCAGTTTAAACACATAATCGCATTATAATCCTGCTATTTATGTGTTGGATAATTAAATAGCTTGCTCCTTTATGCCAGGGAATAAAGTTTTGAACTATTCCTTTAACCTCTTGGCCCATTTTCACACATTAAGTCTCATCCTAGCAGGATGGTGTCCCCAGGTGTCCTTTTTCTTATGTAGCTTTCAGCAGGACACTTCCAGTAATCAGACTGACACTGACACTCTCTCACTACTTAAAGTACTCGGTTTGGTTCAGGTGAGAGAGCTGCCCGGGTAGAGCGAGCAGGAGGCAGCACAGTCAGAGCTGTGAAGTCTGGTATGAAAGGACTCACCTCACGTTCTAATCTGGCAGGTCATCAGCTCTCAGGGCAGATCTGGAAATACCCAAGCCTGCAGGAATCCTGTCCGGATACCTGACAGCGAGCTTGTTGTGATTCAGCTCAAAGCCCTGACGAGTGAACACAATACTAGTTTAGTGGGTGGAGGAGTAACCTGGGCACGTGACAAAGTATTCACCAAAATCACAGAGCGACGCGTGACCGTGTGATAAGAGTTACACATCAACAACGCATTCACAGCATGATCCAGACAGTTTCAGACGACTCAAACAAAAACTAGACAGACACAAGTGTAGAAAAAAACTGGCCTAAGGAGATTAGGAAAGGGGGCACACATAAAGACGAACCCCTAAAATGCAAAATTCAGGGCTTGAAGCAGGGCAGATTTCTGACCCTGGAGATTGATGCACTTCTTTGCCTGCAGTCTGAATTTTTATTATTCATATTTAGTTGAATAGATAAATGACAAATTAAAACTCCTTTCATAAATTCAAGGGCTTTTGTAGCTTCGGTGTCTCAGGGAGTTAAAATTTAATGATACATTAAAGAATCTAAAGCGGCCCCGCTTCCTGGATTTCCGCCAGAGAGCCATCCTGCAAATTACAACAGTGACTGCCTCTCTGCAACTTCACAAACAGTACTATGGAATTACGACACAGTACCACAATAAAGGATGCACTTACATGAAAACGTCGGATTGCTTCATCACAATATTCTTGTTTTGTATAGTTAACAAAGGCACATCGTTTGGCAGTCAAAACCTTGACGCTATAGACGACCCCGACCCTGCAGGACAGGAGTGTGTAAAAAAACAAAACAAAGTTACCATAAAAAGTGTCTCACTACACTACAGAGCTATTTACTTTTATTACATAACAAACCCTAGAACTCCACTACAGGCTCTTACTTGTTAAACAGGTTTGCAAGCATGGAGTCGGTTACTGGGAAATTCAGGTTTCCCACCCAAACTGGAAACAGCTCCCTGTTGAAAGAAGACACCATTTAAAAAACAATATACGACCTATGCACAAGGTCTGTTTTGGGGATAGCTATACAATAATTTATAATATGCATAGTAAACAGTTTAAAAAAAAAAAAAAAAAAAAAAAAAGCCTAATGACTTTCTGCTCTAATGATTTCCTGGGCTACACCGTCTAATTAAAGGTGAAAGAATACCAATAAAGTACCTTGTCTGTTGACTAATTAAATTTTGCAATTACAAAAACCGATTGAGAATCAGTTGTTTTTTTTATATTAACCTTCCTGTCTCGCCACATATACCCACGCTGCTTCTGCTTCATGTAATCAATCCACCTGTTTACACTAGCTGTGGATGAAGTGGTGGTTATGAAGTTTGAGGCTGTGCCATTTGAGGTCATTATTATCCAATTGGAAACCAGTAAATCAGCAATAGTAACACAAAGGGCCATTTTTGAGCTAAAATATCAAACTCCGCTTTTGTTTTTTAGGCATAGATTCAATCCAAGTAGGGCTGCCACAAACAATTTTGATAGTCGACTAGTCACCGATTATTTTTGCGATTAGTCGACTAATCAGATCATGTACGTACTGATTAGTCGCTGTACGTTTTACATCCATTGGATGTAAAACGTACAGCTTATTGCACCAGCCTACATCTGCTCTTATATAACTATCATTAGCTTACAGCTTTAAGTGTTTAAGGTCTGTGCTAACTAAAAATAAAGACAAGATGATAGTTTATTAAATTTTAATGAAATTTGCAGATTGTTTCGGTGAAGTTTAATAAACTCCTTGCTATCTAAAATATAACAGGACACCGGAGTAAATTCTCGAGCATCTCACACTTCTGATAATCAGCTGTGTAAAAACTATAACTTTAATCTCAGCCAAACCGATTTACTCAGGAACAAATAAAATACTGAAAAAAACCAAACAATAACATTTTTAAGTTATCTAAGTGACTTATATATGTTTAACCTGAGTAGCGAAAGACAGCGGTGGGTTTGAAAACAATTAGCTGGGAGTCCGGTGTTCTCACGGACTCTAGTCAGCCTAGCTCCCGGCTAGCTATCGAGCTAGTGGGTAACAGACGTCTCCGAAAACGTCGGAGCGCTTTTGAAAATATGTGGTGTCCTGATAAACTGAGCAGATATTTGAGGTTTACACAGCTACATTCTCGCCTGCAAATATGTTAAACGTTTATTTTGTGACCCAGAAAGAATAATAAGAGTAATATTAAAACTAACTAGCTGCCGCCATTGTTGGAAACTGAGCTATGAATTCTGGGACACAGCTTCTTCTTCTTCGGAGTTTAACGGCAGCTGGCATCCTTGTACATGCAGTGCTGCCATCTTCTGTTTCAGTCCATTATTACACTCTTAAATCCTACTACTTATTCCTGCGTCTTTTGTGATCTTACAAAGCTTCAAACGACACGTCGACTATTAAATCAGTCGTTGACGATTTTGATAGTCGACGTAATCGTGACTAGTCGACTCATTGTGGCAGCCCTAAATCCAAGCTGAGTGAGTGGCGTGCTTACGGTGTTCTCTCGCTTCATTAGTGGTGCCGCACGGGAACAGTAAGCAGAGAAATTAAAGGGCTCCTGGTGTACAACCTCAATCCCACATTGTTACTTCTGCACAGTTATATTAGACTACATTTACTCCAAGAATTAATCTGTTGTGAAATCAAAACTAATGTATTTTGAGAACTTTAAGCCAAGAGTCCAGTCTGGATTTTTTCCCCCCACCATCACTTCAAAAGATCCTTCAATGTCCACTATAAACATTATCGTGTTAAAAATGCAACATCTCAACCTTCCACGTAAGCACCCTGCGGTGAGAGTGAATCAGTACTCACAGTGATGGTCGATTAACGCCGTTGCTGGCCTTCATGGGCTGAGTAAGAATAGGCTTTGATTGACTCTGAGCAGCAGATGTATTCTGGACTGCGCCCAAAGGTTTGTTCATAAGTGTTTTTTTCAGCGCATCCTTGGACTGAGCAGGACGCACAGCGGCAGCAGGTGCAGCGATTGTGTTGGCTGAAAGGATTGGAGACACTCCAGTGACATTTGCTACTTGAACAGGTGGGAGAGAGCCGTTCGGAAGAGCTCCTGCACACAAAGATCAGCAATTAAACTGGATAAAAATACACAGTTAAACACATTTCGTCAGTTTAAGCCTAATATACAAGTGATACTCTCTGTGGATAATACACAGGTGGGCTACAAGAACAAAAGACTTATTTCCACAACTGCGTGGAGTGAGAAACTCACCTGGTCGATCGTTTAACTTAGACAGCACTTCTAGTGCTTTTTTAACCGTCCCATGAATTATTAAAGCATTTGAGCTCTGCTCTCGAGTAAAACCGAACTCCTGAAGCAAAACAGAAACACACAGTAAGAAGCACATTCAAAAAAAAAAAAAGGCTCAGTCTTCATTTTCCCAACTTTCCCTCACAGCTGAAACCTCGAGCTGCAGGCCATTTTTCTCATCTCAACTATGAACATGTTAGCACTGTTTCTGGTTGGATTCAAGTACACAATGTAGTTACATGCATGTAGTGTGACTGCACCACTAAGCGCAGCTGCTACATACCATTAGCTGTGTTATCTGCACACGCATCAGCTCCTGCGCAGCTTCTGCACACGAACTGTCCAGTTTGAGAACTTCCGTGAAGGCCAGGGCAGCTTCCTCATACCTCTGAAACATTACGGACAGCAAGAACTTCAATTCAAAGTAAACCTGGGTTCAGATCAATTTGTTGCTTCACTAATTGGCCTAATTGCTGTCAGAACACTGAGTCAGAAAAAGTCTAATGCTTCTTTCTCAATAGTATCTACTCGACTCGACTGTTTCAGTTGCTCTCTGTTACAGTTGAGGATCACCTCAATGTGTGTGGGGTTGTTATAGCAACACGGCTGATGTCATCTGTATGTGAGGCGATAGTACACGGCTTTTTAAACGGACTTTGTGGAGCCATTTCCCTCATTGACAGGTTTCAGAACTGGCGCTCTCATGACTCATCAAGTGACGTGACTGACTGGCCAATCAGTGGCACGCGATCTCTTCAGGTCACATTCTCAGATTGACTCAGCTCACTTGGAACCCCGACCGAGTAGGAAAAAAAGTTCCTGGTTCCAGGTATTACTACGTAATGGAAAACCCTGAAAACTGAGTTGAACTGAGCCGAGTTGGTCTTAGGGGAAAATAATGTGAACCTGTGCAACAACTGCAGTGATGCTGCAAACAAGGCGACATTGTCAAAGTCGCTGTAACCTGAACTGTAAACATTACAACCGCTGACGGGTCACAGCCAGTATGTGCCGCTACACAGCCGACTGCAGCTGCATCAACAAGTTAAGACTAAGCTAACTTCCCTGTGACCAGCACTCAAATGTATGTCCCTTTATAATGTTTCTCATTGGTTGGAAAAATGTGTTGCTACTTTGGTTAAAGAGTGCTTTGTAACAAAGGACACTGTTGCACAAGAGTCTGCTCTTAAAATCAGAAACACACAGCATATTAAACATGACATGTGAGGGTTGTTAAGATTAGATAAAAGCTTTATTTTTACCTTTAGACCAGCCAGAGCTCTTCCCTTCCTATACAGGCCTTTATCCCAACCTGGACATATGCCAAGCGACAACTCTGCATCCATTAACGCCTTCTCGTATTCTTGCAACTTCTCAAAACAGAAGGACCGATTTCCAAATAGCCTGCGACAGATGCAAAGATGGCATTAAAGCTAGTGGTGCAAGTGAAATCACTGCTGTTACTTAAAGTGAGATGTTCTTACTTAAACTCTTTAGGGTTGTGCTTAATTGCATCTGTGAAATACTTCACAGCCATATTAAAGTCTCCAGCACTCGCATGCTTATTTCCAATGACTAGGGGAAAAAAAAGGAAGATAAATATTTATTTTACGTATTCTTTAAAAGTCAAATCACCTCACTGAGAATTTATGTGAATGAATAATGACGAAACTTACCGGCAAGCTCTGTGCTTATTTTTACATGGTCTTCAAAGGAGGGAACGCTGGACGCAGCAGAGTCCTGCGTAGACAGCAAGAACAGAGTTTCAACCTTTAACGTGCACCAAAAGACAATATAGCAGGTTTTACAGCTTTGTGGTCATTCTCCAGCGTTTCCTTCATCACTGCTGTTTTATCTAAGATGTTTAACTAACAGATGTGCACACATTTCATTTCTCTGCGGTGAGTTTCACACACCCACACACTTTCGTTTTGACATCTTAGTGAGGACATCTAATTGACATAATGCTTACCTAACCCTTAGCCTAAACCTAGCCATAACCTAAATGTAGCCCTGACACTAAAACCACATTTTGAGTCTCAAAACTTCCTTCAAACCCGTGAGGAGAGGCACTTCTGTCCTCACATGTGACTGTTGGTCCACACAAATATAGTAAAATTCCAATTTTTGGTCCCAACAAAGACGTCTAAACGGGTACAAACACACACGAGTAAGAAGGAGGAAAAGCGTAGTTTCCATCTCCTACTTAACTCACTCGTATGGAGGAAACACTGCATCAATCTGATCTGTATGCGAGCTTCTTCACCTTCTTTGCAGCCTCCCGTTCTTCATGTGATTTTTCGGGGACTGTTTTGTATTCTTCTTTTTCTGGCATCTTCCTTTTCTCCTTCTTCTCCAGTTTGGGCTTCTGCTCCAGTTTATGCATGGCTATAAGAGCAGCTTTTCTCACAAAACTACTCGTCATATCAAGTTCCTTAAAAAGAGACGAGGAAAAAAAATGTAATTGATGAACAGAAAGTGATATAATTTACAGCCAAATCTTATGCGATCATCTTTTCCTGTATTCAGTAAATTGGATTAAAAGAACAGTATCAGGTTAATGGCACTTTACACCATCAGGCATCAATCAGTGGTTCATTTTGAGAATGATATCCACTCTTAAAAGTGCTACCTCTGAGTCGCCTGAGTCGTTCTTGGAGTTGCCGTCTTCATCACTGGAAACGTCGCTACTGTCACTGCTGTCTGTATCTTTGGCTGAGGCCTGCGGTTTAACACTAGTATTGTTATTGGCTCTGTGTTCATCATTAACAGCTTCACCCTCCTCTGCATCATCTTTTCCCTGTAAAGCACAGAACACAAGTTTGTGAAATAAGAGGACCGTTTCTTTTTTCGAAACGTGTTGCATAAAACAATCATCACCTCCTCGTTTTTTTCAGGGTTCAGCTTGTCCTTCTCCAGCTTCTCGAGACGTTTCCTTTCCTTCTGTTTCTGATCAACAAACACACGCAGTGAACATTACTCACACGAGCTGACATTTATTACCAATCACTTCATATTCAAGAAAGCAGGATTTACCCGTTTCTTAAGCCGCTTCTTCTCAGCTTTGTCTTTCATTTTTTTAGATTCTTCTAATAATCTGGCTTTTCTCTCAGCATCCTAAAGAAGCAGATTTGAATCATTTAGAGTCTGCAGCACAACTTCACATCAAAAAGAAAACGGTAAAACTAAACACTTACGTGCTCCTTTGTCTGAAATCTTAAAGGGGACGGGCAAGAAGAATTACGGGCTGAAGGGTATACAGGCTGATATACAGCGCTGGATGACCTCAGGCGGTTTGCAGGGTATCCATGGAAATCATGACTCCAACTACCGGTAACATAATCATCATTGCCTGGGTCGTCTAGATCGTCATCATAGTCAATACCTGTAGGAACAACAACAAGTTTCATACAGTCACACAAATAAAGACCGACACACTCAAATGTGCACAGCAGACATGTTGCACAATATCTCCTTACCAAGAAGGCCACATCTTATTATTCTTTGCATATGAGGACGTCCTTCAAACATCCCTAAAACAGTTCTCTAAACAGGAGGGAGAGAGACAAAGAGATTTGAAAAGTATTCACAAACAGTCACGTACAGTCCTCGCTCGCAGCCTCTCCAGCCTTGAATTCTTACCCACATTCCACCTACATCTGGATCCCAGTATGATAAGTGTGGAGTATTCCCACAGCTGCTGAAAAACTGCACCACTGCCACTACTCAGCATGCCTCTGAGCTCCAGTAAGAATGCTGGCACTGAAAAGCACCATGTCCAAGAGTTTCACTTTCCTTTATCCAGAAGCTCTGAGTCACTGGATCAGCAGGCAAGCCCCTTTCTCTGGTCTTGCACTATAATAAATACACGTGAATGCAACAACAAAGCAGCCTGCATCTAATTTGGGGATGTGGAGCATATTCTCATACTGAATACTATCGTTTATTTTAGTCAGACTTATAGAAGAATCACTATAAGAGCTGTAATGTTGAGCACAAATGCAAATAGAAGGTTGGTGTGATTAAACAAAGCTATAAAGTCTTTTCTCTCCACTTTAACAGCACCAATAAATTACAGTGGAGCAAAGTTTGTCTGGCACAAAAATAAATGTCAAGCATTACATAATCAGCTGTGCAGTTATCTGATCCACTGGAGTTGTTTGTGGAGCAGCTTTTCGTGTTTGATGTGCTAATCTGTACATCTTGAGTTCCGAGGCAGAAAAAGGAAATCCACAGGCAGGTTATACACGTGGGAGGAAAAGGGGCAACAACATGCCACTTAATGAAGAAATGTCACTAACCCAACAGATACGAAGACGGCACTTTTCCTTAGAATAATCCACGGACTGGTTTAGGATTTGTTATGGAGTCAATATATTATATTCGGAGCAGAAATGTCCAATTAAGACCACTTTGCACGTACAATACGAGATTATTACCTCAAATATCCGCCCCACTGTCACGCAAAAAAGCAAAGCGTGGTTTGTAATTCCTTGTAGACGGATTACTAATATCACTGTTTTCTAAACCATTTCACAGACATCCTGCTCACTGGTAAAACTGTGTTTAGATTTCCGTAAGAAGCAGCTGTGCACGTACAGCGTTTCTCTGAATACAGGATATGTACAGGAAGTGACACGGCGCAGTGTTTACATGTTTCCATTCAGCAAATTAGACTGTGCTGCTTTTACGGCCAACCTGCGAGGAACCCATTGATGATCTTAACACCTTACCCATCCGGTCCCCAGACCCATAAACTCCCCCCACGAAGTAAGAGCCAACACGCGGGGAGCTTTTCCACAAAGCGTAAGCTAACGCGCGCGTAAACTTTAAGGAAGAGAGCATACTTACGAACATATGAGGATCCGGAATCTCTGCAAAAGCAAACAAAAGAACAAAGAGCAATATAAATACAGTCGGTTCAATAACCAGGCTTTGGCTCCTCTCTACACAAACATGACTCCTACAAGCGAGCTAGCTTCGTAGCCACGTTAGCCAACAACTTTTTAAAAGACACAAAAAGCGCTTTCTTACCCTCCTCTTCTCTATAAATCTCCATGTTTACTAATATAAGTCCTGTCACGGCTTTACACACTCTCACGACGCAGTTAATTTCACCCTAAGTTTCATTACTAATGCTAATGTTAGCAGCCTCTAACTTTTGCTGCCAACATACTGGCGCGCTCCCTCTCGATCACTTTCAACATCGCGTGAACGCACACGAGCGCACGGGCGGGACTTGGCTTTTATTGAACGCATGCGCGCCGTCTTCCTGCCCCCTTCCCGGACACATGGATGACCTTTTGTTGTTTATTTGCAATAAAAATGTAAATGTAGTGGGTCTGTTTCAGTCCTTGAACCTGCAGATGTGTCTGCTAGCTCTGCAAAGCCTACTTTGGTATGGAATTTGGTAGGAATTAACAGCATTAGACTGTGTTGTAAATGTTATGTCATTATAACAATATAGCCAAGTACGCACCGTAGACACTGGATTGGCAAAAGCATTGGTTCGTCTGCCTTCACACGCATATGAACTTCAGCGGCCATCTTTAGGTTTAATATGATGTTGATCCACAGCTTTTACAGCTTCCAGATCTCATGGAGAGGCTTTCTCCAAGGTTCAGGAGTGTGTTTAGGATTTTTTTTTTTAAACCATTCTTCCAAAAGTGCAAAGTAGGGTTTACATGAGAAGGTCTCCTGTTTTTTCATGCTAACAGTGTTCTCTGGTTGAGGTCAAGACTTTGTGCAGGCCAGTCAAGTTTTTCCACACCAAACTCACTGTCTTTATGGACCTTACTTTGTCCACTGGTGTTCAGTCATGCTAGAACAGAAGGGTCCATCCTCAAACTGTTTCCACAAAGTTGGGGACGTCCAAGATGTCAGTATGCTGAAGCTTTAAGAGTTCCTTTCACTTTGAATGAAAAACAAACTCACGCCATAATCCCCCCACCACAAAACTTTATTAGTCAGAAAGTATCGTTCTCCTGGCAACCAAATGCAGAGTCATCCATCCGATTGCCCGAAGAGGTCTGCAGTGTTATTTTTTCTTTAAAGAGAGGGAACACTTCCTGCCTCTTCTCATGTTTTTTTTTTGTTATGTTTTTTCTTTAACAATTTAAAGTGCACAGCTGCTTAAGCCTTCTCTGAGGAGCAACAATGTTAGGCTACACATAATACATTGTCTGATATAAAGAAGCCCACCTCATCATAAGATATACACACTAAATACTGCCAGCACAGGGTTAGATAAAATCTTAAACAGTTTATTTATTAATCAGTTTATTGTTACCATACACACCCGCACCCACCCAGACATTTCTGAATATTTTCCAATAGACAAAAACCCGCAGTTTTAAACAACTACAGGTTAAGCCATTAACAGAAGGAAAAATAATATCAGTATTTTTTTCCATTAAGAAAAAGAGTTTAGCAGGAAATGTTAAAATTGTCAAATGTAATGTTCTATGATGTAATGCATGTGTAATTATGTTCATCACTCAAAGACACACTTCTGTCATGTTTTCTTTCCCAACAAGTGAGCGGCGCGTTCACTGCAGTTTTAGCTCCTTTATAAATCATGAAGCAGCGGTCTTCGATCATGTTATGAAAAAAACTGTCTTTGCAAGAGTTAAAAAGTCAAAACCCTGAGTTACAAACTTTTAAAAGTTTATCCGTCCCCACTTTTCAAAGTGGCAGCGACAGAATGTCATGATGGCCAGGACTTATGTGCTGAAAGCAAGTATAACAAACGGCGATCGGTTTCCATCAATGCTACTCTACAATCCTTCCATGGCGAACAGAAAAGGCAATGAGTCTGCGGTAGGCCGAGATGAGGAGGATTATGGCTCCTGCCACCATGCCGCAGATGAGGCTGAAGGTCCAGCGAGGTCCCAGGTGGGTGTAGACATGGGAGACGAAGACCGGGCCGAGTGTCCGTGCCCCGCTGCCCGACGCCGTCAGCCAGCCCATGTACACACCCTGGTGAAACATTTGAGAAGTATATGGGCGCGTTCAAAATTATTTTAAAGCATCACACATGTTAGTATTTACCTGAGGTTTGGGTCCAAGGATTTTGGAATACAGTGTGTAGGACATCACATTGCAGGCTGGGTATCCCACTCCAATGAGGAAGTCCGCTGAGAAGAACTGAGCTATGTGTATAGCAGGAGTATACTGGCACCAGGTTTGTTCGATGGGACACCCCGTTGGCTCCACAGTACTGTTCGGGGCTAGCATGAGGTCAGGCATCTGAGTCACAAAGGAGTTGTTTTTTATGTCTGTTTGTGAAAGAGGAGGGTAGAAATTAGTTTAAATCTAAACAGATGCTTGGAAAGATGTAACAACTACACACTGAGCTGTCAAGAGTCAAAATGGCAACAACTGGAAACTAATCTGACTACTTAATTCAACCGATCAATACCTGCCCACTGGATTTTAGGATAATGGTTTCCCCATGGGAGAAGAATAAAGAAGCCACAGAAAATAATGACCAAGCCGATTAACAACACAGGCCGATCTCCGAATCTGGAAGGAAATTAACGAAATTCAGGAAAGGCGATTCTTTATTTGATGTAATTTATATGTGCAGTGAGAGGGGTGATACCTAAGAGCAGCCACTTTTACAGCCAGAAACACCAAGATTGATACAAATCCGATGCAGCAGAGAATGATCCCGTTGTACAGCACAGCTTCTTCCCTTGTCCAGGCAAACATGTCCATAGATAGGGGCGTGGTAATTCTGAAGAAAAACACAGAATCACAACAGAGTACAAAAGAGGTTTTAAAGAGAGAGAAAGACTGCCTAGACTGGATATAAAAGACAGGCATAGCTCTGGCTGAGAACTGTCACCATGCTTGCGTTTTGAAACCAGGAAGCTTGTCAATCGCAGAGATAATGTATAAAATGATCTCCTTTATATTTTTCTGTTTTATCCTCAGTTACTTTGACACAAAGTTATCTGCTGTGATGCTTACACCTCTGATGAAGTCTCACATGTACTTGTAAATGATCATTATCACAATATTTCTGACTGAGTCAAAATGAAATCAAACCGGGACCTCATCAATCAAAATTGAATAACTAATAGAAATCAGTGGCGATACCCAGCCCTACTTGGAACCAGCTTTTATGTACCATCTGTGAGTCTGACGTCTTTGAAGAAATACATACGTCTCAAAGATGGCAAAGATGAACATGATGATGAAGAACAGGATGTTGGATGTCATGACAGCCACCTGATCGATGCTTTCAACAGTTTCTTCTGAAATATCAACTCTCTCTAGAAAACAAATGTATCTTCCATCAGAAACTGTAAAACATGACTCATTTATTTCCATATTCAAAATGTATGATTCCTTTAACATTAGCCATTCAGACTCAGTGCAGTACTGCTTTATGTCACTCTGTATGTTAAATGACTTAAAAATAAATAAATGTTTTAGTCCAAATAGTTTTCATTTTTTCTGTAAATTGACTTCAGCAAGTGTCTTTCCTTGGCATACAGTAAATGCTAAAGAAAAATAGATACACCTTCTGATGTGTAGTTGATAGATTGAATGTGCCTTCCATCTTCATCAACGTGATGCTCTCTGATGGAAAGAATCAAACATTTTAGTTAAAGGGTATATCCACAGTATTTTTTAGTCCATGTAAAATAACGAAATAAACAGTCAAATACTGAAATTTTCCAGAACTATCCTACTGAAGACCGATCCTTTTTTTTTTTTCCTTCAAAAAAAAAAAATGGTTAAGGAAAAACAACTTCACACGTTAAAGACAAGTCAAAAATATTTCAGGATGCAGGAGTATCATTGTCAAGGTCTACAATCACCTTCATGAATGTAAATATGGAGGATTTAAAAGGTGCAAGCAACCACTTGAAGGCCAGACTAGACTTTGCCAGCAAACATCTAAAAGAGCACAGCTCTGTAAAAAAAAATGTTTGGTCAGATAAACCCAAGATTAACTTTTATTAACTTGTATCAAAATGATGGGAAGAGAAAGGTATGGAGCAGGAGAGAAACAGCTCATGATCTGAAGCATACCACATCATCTGTCTAACATGGAGGGGCTAATATTATGGCATAGACACGTATGACTGTCAGTGGTGTTTTGTGACTGCTGATGGAAGCAACAGGGCTGCACTCTCTGCTCGGATTCAACCAAACGCTCCTGATCAGACTGTGTAAACAGATAATGACCCAAAGCAAACTGCAAAAGCAATATGAGTTTCTCAAATCAGCAAAATCAGATGTTCTTCAAATTCAAGTCACCTGATCTCAACTTACGTTTTTTAGGTTATGAAGAGAAACTTGGATCATTTTTTCAGTATGTTCAATAAAAACCAAAAGCACAAATAGTGCTTTAAGACAGAATTCGAAAGAATTGTGAACCTTCACATTTATACGGCATTTAAAAACATTAATTATACATAAACTGACAGATCAATAATACTAAACTCTCAAACAGTCCTGATTTAAATCTTTGACCCTGCTGACCGCTAAAGTTCATTTAGGTAGTGCCTCAAAAAACAAAGAAAGAAAAAAGAAAAAAAAAAGGCCCAGTTGAGGGATGAAGACAGATTTACTACAGTACAGAGATCAAGTTTATGGCAAAACTATAAACAAACAAGAAGTCACATCAAGAATTTATTCAGTCACCTCAGCAGAATAACGACGAGCAGGATGTTGATGAGGCCGAACACTGCAGCCAGTAACGCTGGGGTGGTGTACATGTTGAGCTTCAGCGCTATGAAGTCCAGTGTGACACCTTCCTCTCCAATGAAGGACAGACATGCCTGCAGGGCTGACATATACACAGAAAAATAAACAAACATTAAAACTGATTTTTTCTTCAGCAAACTCACAGCTTTGCTCCCTGTTGTCAAACTTACCTGGCCCGAGGATGAAACCGAGGGCCTGGCAGGCACTCATGTTAGCCATGGCACCCGTCCTCTCGTTCAGTGATGTAGCTCCAGCAACATAGGACCTCACCACAGCTACGTTACCTGACATGGAAAGACTGAAACGTGTCATGGATCATCATAAAGGAAACAGATCAATTTGCTTACTAAGGAAATTATATCAAACTTTTAGGTCTATATTTAAATGATCACCTGCTCCGAAGCCCACAAAGACTCTGGACATGAGGATGTGATACTTGTTATAGGTCTTCGGCAGGTACGCGTAGGCATAGTAGATGTTGGCTGCCAA